AATTTTAATCAAAGTATATTGAGAAGAATTAGAATTAAAGAAAATAAACTAAATAAAAAGACAATAAAAATTCCGAAAAAGTAACTATTATAAAAAATGAGAAGGAATAAATTTAACAAATAAATTTTTATTTAAGAACTTTTTCTTAATTAAAATCCTGTATAATGTTCTTTTTTTTTAAGCATTAATATAAATAAAAATTAAGGATGTTTTACTTTTAATATATTAATTTTAAATTTATTTATATTTTTATTATAAAAAATATATTAATATAAATAAATAAATATTTTTATATTTATATTATATTTTTTTTTTTTAATATTTATTATATAATAAATTTAAATAAATTTAAAACATATAATTTTATGATTTTTATATAATAAAATCAATTAAATATTTATTTTTTTTATTTTATTAAAATTCGTTTATAAAAAAAATTTAAATATTTTATTTTTATACAAAATATATTATTTTTTATCCATTAAATATTTAAAAACATATATAAGAAATATTTACTTAATATTTTTTATAAATAAAATATCAAAATAAAAATATTTATAATTATTATTATTTTTCATTTTTTTTTTTAATTATTTAATAATAATCTTAATAAAATTTAATAAATAAATAAAGAAAAGGTTATATTTAATAATTATTTTATCATTAATCATTTCTTTAAACCTAATTTAAAAATCTAGAATGCTAATTTATTTCACATTATTTTGAAGAATTATTTAAATTATATCCGGTATTACAGTCAGTGCATTAAATCGAATCACATTTTATACAATTACTGAATTTAATACTGCATTCGTAACAAATTTTATATTTAAAGTCTTATACATATAAAAAATCTTAATAAAAACCATCCATACATTTTAAGCACATACTATTTTAGCCACATAAAGTACATCCTTCATTGCAATCAGTAGCATTTTTATTAACTTAAATGCATTTATCTTCGTAATCATAATATTCATATCCAGGAAAACATTTTAAACAAATACTTGGAGTACAAGAACTACATTTACTGAATTTAATAGTACACTTAAGACATTATATAGTTTAAATAGTTGGATTATCAACTGAATAATCATAAAAACCATCTTAACATTCTAAGCATATTTTAGATTTAGAACATTTTTTACATTCATTAGGGCATTCTATTTCAGTAGTTTCATCAACATTATTGATTTCTAAGCATTATTTTTATAACTCATCATATTAAAATCCTTAAATGCAATTAATACAACTAGTTTCAGTACATTTATAACAATTACTGAATTTATTTCTGCATTTAACACATGATTTACTTGCTTTATCTTCATAAAAACCAGCTTTGCATTCTAAACATTCTCCAGGTTATGAGCATTTCTCACATTAATTAGGGCATTATTTTTCAGTAATTTCATCAGTTAATCCCCCTGAAGTTATTTATATACATTATTTTTTAGTTTAATTTAATTAATATCCATTTATACATTTATTACATTAATGATAATCACAAGATTGGCAATAAGGATATTTATTAACACATTATAAGCAAGATTTATTTTCATAATATACATAATAACCTTCATAACATTCATTGCAACCAATATAATTACATTTTTAACATCCTGTAGAACATTTTTAGCATTTTTTTCTTCTATCAGAATAATAACTAGCTTCAGGACATTCATCTACACAACTACCATCAATACTTACTAATTTACTTCCCTCACAAACAAAACATTATGTTAATCTATCAGGATTACATGAGGAGCAAGGTGAAAAACACAATGTGCATTTCTAATCTAAACCTAATCTAAATCCATTAGCAGTATCACATTAAGAACATGTATTAGGATTATTTTATTAAAGACATCCTAATAAAAGCTTCTCACAAAATTAATTTTCTTAGTTTGCGAAATATCCCAAAGGACATTCACTTAAACACTACTTACTATCATTATAATAAAAAAAACCTTCATTACAAGTAACGCACTAATGTTAATTATTTTTTTAACAAATTTTACAATTTCCATAACAAATATTTGTCCAAAGGTATTCACAAATACCCAAAGTTTAATTAGGAAAATATCCTTATTTCTCATTACATTTATCTACACACTAATTTCCTTACAATAATGTCATAAACTAACATTAAGTACACTCATTAGATGACGGTCCTGTACATCTAGAACAACTACTATCACATGGTTCACATTTGTCAGCCCTTCCGAATGAGCCTAAAGGACAATCTGATTTGCAAGTATTATCTGTGTTTAAAAATTTACCTTAAGGACATGGGCCTTGTATACAAGTTTCATTATCGACTACTCCGGAGCAATTTATAGAACAATCAACTCCTCCGAATCCGGATTTGCAGATGCATTGACCGTTAACACAAACTCCTTTTTCAGAACAGAAATTTGGACATATAGGGGTATAATTACAAAATCTTTCGTAATCTTAAGGACATGTGACTTTACCTTAAGCTTTTTGGCCACTTGGATCGATATCCTTTTATATATTTTATTCTCCTTTTCCACATAAAACACTTAAATCAATCTCGGGGAAAACAACAGATATTTCAGAAGCATCAGAGGAACATTTGAATTAGTGACATCTAAATTAAGTATCATTGTATACAGAATTTGATTTTTTAGCTGTAGATTTAAAGCATTTACTTTGAGTTGAATAATTAGATAATCTACTCTGTTCATATTGTTTAATATCTTTATTAGTTATACTATTAGGATTTGTACACAATGTATATAAAAATAATTTTATTAAAGCACATCCGTCTGAAAATACAACAGAATTGCCAACACCCATTCCCTCATATTCAAATGTACATTAAAATTAATCATTTTATTTAGGATATTCAGGGTATTCAATCGTACTTTAGCAAGCGTTTTCTAAGAAATCGCAACCTTTTCCTTTTCCCCAGAAAATATTATCTGCCATATTCTCATTTACTTCAGTGTAAAAACCTGTGTCTTTCAAAAGTGCAATTGTAAATATAGATAAAACACTATCAGATACATCATCTCCAACCATCATTTCATTAAAAATAACAGTTTTTTCCCAATGAGAACTAATTGTACCTAAACTACCCTAGTTTATATATATTTTTTTAATATTTAAATATATACTTCATTTTCAAGTTACATTCCTTCAACTGTAGGACAATTATAATATTTTCTAGTTACTTCTACTACATTTTTGGAAACTAAAATTGTGGTTTGTATTCCTCTGTAATTTTTTGTTTTTAACAATTTATCATTAAAGTTAGTTCCATAAGATTTTCCAGTATCAGGATCTATCCAAAATTACATTGCGTAAACTGAGAAACCGAGTATATGTAAAATTTCATGAATAGTTGTTTCCAAATCATTCTCAAATATTGCCGCATCTCCACTATCTGTTTTCATGTTTGATAAGTTAAATTAAACCATTCCAAAAATAGGTCTAACGGTTTTTCCATTAGAATACTCACAACAAGTGGCACTTGCGATAGCATCATTATTATCATTAGCATAAGAGACGTATATGTGTAAATCGGAATTAGGAATTCCTATTATTTAATCATTTGGAGGAACATTTACAAATGCACAATTTTTAGATACCTTAGGGAAAATATTATTTCCTATTAATGGATATACTTTCAAAAGTTTTTAGAAATAAATTTTGGATATTTCCATAAGATCTATTAAATAATTTTTTTATTATTCATTTATACCCTAACCTACTTAATTTAATATAGTATAATCTAAAGTTATTCTTATAGGCTATGATTTAGCAACCTTTTAAAGAATGCGTTAATCATAGTTTAATTTTTCAACTTTTTTATAAGTTTCATGCATTTTTTAATAATGATCTTGAATTTCTTTACTTTCATGACCACATTTACGGTGTGAATAAATCAATTTAACTAATATAAATATACTAATTAAAAAAAGTATTTTAAACATTATTTTTTATTTATTTTTATATTATTTTTAATTAATTTATTTTATGTATTTATGTATTTAATATTTCTTTTTTTTTTACAATTATATAATCATTAAAATTATAAAGATATTTTTTAAATTAATAATGTAATTTTATATTAATAATGTAATTTTATATTATTAAAATTGACACGTTTTAATTTAATTATAGTTAATTACATTTTAAATGAATATAATATTTTTAAAAATAATATTTAAATAAAAATTATTTAATGTAAAATTTTTATTTATTGATATTAAAAAATTTATTTTCTTTTTATATTTTATGTTTTTTAGGTTTAAATAAGAATTGTTTAAAAAAAATTTTAAAAAAAGTAATTTAATCTTTTTATTATAAATATAAAAATTATAAAAGAATATATTTATATTTATGAAAATTAAAAAATTTATAAAAATATGTAACTTTTATATTATTTAATTAAAAAAAAAATATTAATTATTTAAAATATAATATTAAATATGTAAATTTTTATAAAAATTATTTAAATTATTATATGTATATATATTTTAAATTTAATAATTTAAATATTAATATAAAAAAAATATTATATTTGTAATGTTGTAAAAATAAAAATTATATATGTTATAAATATAAATTATCTAATAAAAAATAATGACTTTTTGTTAATAATAATTTTTTTTTAAATTTTTAAAAATAAAAAAATAAATTAAATTTATATATTTATAAAAAAAATATATTTTATGTAATAAAGATATATTTTATAAATAATATATCATTAATTTATAAGAATATAGATTTTGTTTTTTATCTTTCAAATTTTAATTTTAAAATATTTATAAATATTAAATAAAAAAATATATATAAATATTTTATTTATTTTTTAATGTATTAAAATAAATAGATATAATTTTAAAAGTATAAAAATAAATCTAAAGAAAATAAAATGAAAATATTTGATTAGATTTAATAAATTATTTTAGAAAGAAAACAAAAAAATCAAATTATAAAAATACAATTAAAAAAAAAAAAAAAAAAATTAAAGATGGAAAATTATATTAAAAATAAATAAAAAAATTTATTAAATATTAATATATATAAAAATAAGTATAAATTAAACAATATATATGTTTAAATATTAATTAATATATTTATATATATATTTTTACATATATATTTATATTCAAATTTTTTTTTATACTTATATTTTTATAATTTCCTTTTTGCTTTTTTTTTATATATATTTATATAATTATCTATATTTATTTTTCTTTTTTTTTATTTTTACTTAATTTTTATCTAATTTTTTTTTAACTATTATTTTTTCTATTAATCTTTATTATCTATTTATATTCATCTAATATATATATTTTTTTATCTATTTTTATATTTATCAATATATAACTTTTTGTCTATATATAATACATCTCTAGCAATTTTTTTTTTTATTATTTTTTTTTTATCATTTATTCATATTTATATATATATATAAATATATATTTAATTTTCAATTAAAAATTTATACTCATTATATATTTTTATTTATTAATAAAATTATTTATTACGTGTAATTTTAAAAATAATCAATAATTAATATTTTTTTTAAAGAACTATTATATTTTTTAACATTTATTAATTAACACATTATAAATTTAATAAAAATATATAATAAATATAATTAAAATCATAATATTTTATTTAATTATATAATAATAAATATATAATTTAAACTTTTATATGAAATAATTTATATATTTAAACATTTTTTCGCAGACCAAATAAATCTAATAATAAAATATGAGATGCAACTACTTAAAGTAAATATAATAATGGATACCTAAATTCTATTAGCAATTTTAAAAATTATTTTTAAAAGTAATTATAAAAATGGCTTTTATTTATTTACATAATGGATATTATTTTAATTATGAATATGAATAATTTATATATAGTAAATATTGTATAATTTAAAGTTAGGTTTATAAAGATTTAGAATATAATAAAAATAAATTACATAGTAGCTTTTAATTCATTTATTGTTAAAGAAGTACTTAAAGTAGTTGCACTAAATTTAAGTCTGCATTCTATTCTAAAATATGTAAAAAATAATGTAAAGAATAACTTTGAAGATATAAATATATATTCTGCTTAAAACTAGATATGTTATAAATATTATTATCTAGAGAATTTTCAATTTGTTAATATGGTATTTATGATAATTTTTAATAACGAAAATACCTTATGTATTAGTTGTATTAATATGCTTAGTAATAGTGAAAAAAATTCGTAAAGTAAAAGAAGTTAATGTATTACTGGATATTTATCAAGTAAATCTTTAAAATAATGTGAATAAATAAAAGCTTATAATTATTATATTAGGTTATAGATGAATATTATTTATATAATAATTATTAAAAATAGCATTGTATTTTTTTATTTTTTAGTTTTATTTGCATTAATATTGTGATGATTAGAAATAAAACAAATAAAAATTATTAATATATTTATAAATTTTATATATTAAATTTTTAATATTTTTTATATTTAATTTATTTTTATATATATTTTTATTAAATTTATCATTTATTTTTTAATGAAACTAAAATTGATTTTCTAATTATCATAAAAATGTAATATTTAATTTATATTTTTATAAAAAATCAAATCAAATCATAAAAATTTGATTTTTTAATTTTTTTTTAAATTTGAAATAAGAAATAACATTATATTAAAAATAATAATATTTTTTTTTATACAATAAATTATTATTTAAACAAAAAAATATATATTTTCGTTTTTTTATTAAAAAATTTAATTTTATATAATAAAAACTCATTATTTTAAAGAAATTAATATTTAAATTTATTAAAAATTTTTAGTTTTATAATTATATTAATTAAAAATATAAAACAAAATTTTGGTTAAATATTATTATGTATATTTTTACAATAGTTCTTAATTGCTTTAATTATGCAATAAATATTCATAATTTTTAAAAAAATATTTTATATTTTTTTTTAGTTATAAATAAAAAAAAAAATACTTTAAAATTTTATACTTTTATTGTTAGCTTTTATAATTATTTAAACTATTTTTGTTTTATATTTTAAATAAAACCTTCCGATGAAAATACTAGCAGAGATTGCTACAAAATATAAGAAAAAAACTTAATTTATTATCATTTATATTTTATTTAATCATTATTATTTAAATTTCCTAGATGTAAAAATTTTATTATCAATGTTTATTAATATTTTTTTAAGAATCCTTATAAAGATATAAGAAGTATTTTTCTTTATGTTCCCCGGATAAGTTTAGGACTTTTGATTAAATCTTCTTGATTTAAGTGGGCGTATTCTATAGAATTTTATTTATTAATATTAATCAATTTTTTAATATAATTCTCATTATTTTTTTTAAATATATATATTTTTTTATCTTAAATCTCAACATTTTTTAGTATTATTTATTAATTTAAAATAAAAAAAAAATATGAATTACAAATAAAAATATTATAAAGATAATATTTTAAAAATTTAAATTTTGATTTTATTTCAAACAAATAATTAATATATTAAGTTTAAAGTTTATATAAAATAATTCTTTTTTTGAATATAAAAATATGTATCTTCATTTTTTAAAAATTAAAATATATTTTTTTTATAATAATAAAAAAATAAATATATTATATATCAATATATAAATTAAGTACATAATATTTTTTTCGTATTATTAAAAAAAAAATTCTTTTATACAAATAAATAAAAAAATTAAATTTATATATAAAAATTTTATTGATTAATGATATTAAAAATATAAAATTATTAAATTTGTATTTAATTAAAAAATATCATATATAATTTTTTTATTTATTATATATAACATTTAACATTTATATTTATCTTTTACTATTAAAAATTAATATAATTTTTTTATTTATTTTGTTTCTAAGAAATTATTAAATTAAAATATAAAATTAAAACTTTAAACAAAATTAAAAAAAAATGTTGAATATTGAAATCAATATATTTTATGAAAATAATATTTTATATGAAAAAATATAAAATTATTTACAAATTTATTAATATAAAAAAAAATATAAAAATTCTCATTTTAATATAATATCATTTTAAATATATATTAATTTTTTTTTTAATAATATTTTTTTAATAGTAATAAATTTAATCTAAATTAATTATTAAAAAATATTAACAATATTAAAATAATTATATATTAATTATAAATTAAAAACATCATTTCATAAATTTTATATTTTTAAAATAAATAATTATTGTTCTAGATAACAAAATCAATAAATTATTAATCTAAAAAAAATTTTTAAAAAATTATTTTTAAATTTTAAGTATATATATTGTATTATTATATAATTAAAGAAATAAAGATAAACCAATAAATAAAAATTTAATTATAATTTACTTAAAAAAAAAATGATGATAAAAAAATTAGTTTTAATTATAATTTTAATATTATGTAAATTGACTTATTCACACCGCAAATGTAGTCATGGCAGTAAATAAATGAAAGATCATTATTAAAAAATGTATGAAAATTTTGAAAAAAATAAAAAATTAAACTATGATTAACGCATTCTTTAAACAGACACCAATCCTTAACCTATAAGAATAACTATAGATTATTCCATGTTAGATTAAGGAATAACATAATAATAAAAAGACTACTTAATAAATCTTATGGAAATTTCTAAGCTTTA